CTCATAAAATGAAAATCTATATGTCCAATTTGAATTAATCTCAATGGATCCCTCCTTATTACCCAGAGGAGAAGAATAGGTAGGAATGACAGGATTTGAACCCATGATATTTTTTACCCAAAACAAAGGCACTACCAAACTGGGCTATATCCCTTTCAATTGGCCTAAAACAGTTTCATTGTAGAGAATCCCTTTCCACTACTCTCCTTATAGGTTGAGCCTCCTTTTCTTTTGCCCTCTACATCATTATTTTTTTCATAGATATCTAATTTATCTTTTCATTTGTTATTTTTTGGTATTTATTGATTTATATACTCATCACCATCCCGCCACTCCTACCAACTACTACTTACAAATAAGTGAAAAAAGGGGTTCTAAATAAGAAGCTGTCACGCCCCGAGCCTACACCCTGGACGTAACACGGTACTTGAAGTCACATGTGACCCAAGTCAACCCTTGGTCTACCATTCACTAGCATTCTGAGTAAACATGCACAGCAGAGCTTTGAAATAATATCATAAAACATTTATGAAAAAAGAATTTAAGAATATAAAGTTAAAAACATTTTGAATAATACTGATAAATCTAAAAACCATATCTTTCTGAAAGCCATCTAACTGAGGAGTTGCTGGGACAAGCCCCCAGCTAACTCAAAGTCTAACTGAAACTAATAAATGACCGAAAGGAAGAAATAATTCCCTCGGATGATGCAGACTCACACTTCACAGTTGAGGTAGAGAATCTGATCTGCGACAACTAACGGTGTTGAGCCTGAGAACCTGCAGTTGTATCATGAAACGATACATCATAAATGTATGCGTCAGTACTTTGAATATACTGAGTAAGTGGGAGAAACACACCTGAATATAAAATCTGAACTGAAATGACACGCCATGACCAACAGGTAAGCTAAATTGAACTACTGATATAATATGAAATGGTCAATATGACCCTATTTGATGGTTTAGGACATGCCCTAAGGCTGAAACACTGAAATCTGAAATACTGTACTGAATTGAGCTGCTTATTTTGAAACTGAACTGGACTGACTAGTGGGAGAGTCTATAACCAACATATAACCACGTGAGCTAGATATGGAGTCTGATGTATACACCCCACCAGTAGGACCCAATATACCTTTTCAGGGTATAAATGCATGAACTGAGTGATCACAAAAAGTCTAGGGCCAATCAGGCCAATAATCTATAACCTACGCTGGCAACGTAGTTCTGGGAACCTGCGTGCGTTGGAACCCCGGCCCGCTTGGTGCTAAGTTCTACTCCCACTGAAAAACTTAAACTGATCTACTAAGATGATAGCTCGAAACTGGGGTCCAAGACTAGTTAGGGACGTATAACTGCATGTACCCTGTGAGTCTTATCGGACCAGATTCTAAAACTGAGTTCTTGACTGGTCAGAGCTGCTTATCTGGAAGCGTCGTAACCATCTAAGAACAAGCTGTAATTGAACTGGGGCCCTAGAGCTGGTTAGAGCTATATGCTAGAACATCATCACCGCCTAATAGACCAAAACTACAATCTGAGTCTGATTCTGATAATTGAGAGACACCACTAACACCTCGAAATAAGACTAAAAGTCAAACTGATTAGTTGACAATTTTCTAAAAGATTCTGGAGAGACTTCACATTCTAACTAGTCTGAAATACTAGCAACTAATAGAGAACTCAACTTATCCCAACAATTACGAGAATTTCATAATATTGCAGCAACTCAAGAATTAAATAAATCTCATCTATCAAAACTAAATCATTCTTATCAATGAGACAATCGCCCACAAAAATATAGTAAAAATTTCTAGGAAATTCAGCCCAAAACATTTTTATTCACTAGATGGGATTTAATAAGCAGAATCATTATCGAAAGTTAGGGCTTAAATTCACTATCTCAAGAACCTCGATAATTTAAGTAAAAACTGATGGGAATCATATCAACAATTTACATGAACAACGCTCTAAGTGGAATCAATGAAAAATAATCATGAATCCTTTTCATACTCAAAAACTCAGGGCTTAAAACTGATAGAGAGAATTGAGGAGGATTTGGGGACACAAGGGAAGAACAATCCCCTTTCTAAAACCCTACATACCTGAGTTAAGGTCTCTTGAAGAAGGAGACTTGAACCGCTGCAATGGAAAAAAACCCTACGCTTGGTTGAAAATTTTCTCGAGAGAACCTTCGATGATTTTTTGAGAAATAACGTGAGAATGAGGGAAGGAACCTTCCAAACCCTCTAATAAGTCTGAATTTACGCTTAAAACGACGTGGTTTAGAGTTTGGGAGGGTAGGAAATTACTAAATATCCCTTAGACATTCGCTGGAAAAACTGTCAGGTGTCCCTAACGGGTGATCTAACGAGTCGTGGCTTCTGAAAACGACTCGCGGTCATGCCCGTCAGGTACACTTCCTGGAATCTCCAGTGGGTGAGCATGAGTGACTTAACGAGTCGTGGTCACTAGACAAGACTCGTGGTCACCAGTCGTCGACCACACTGTCTCACCCCCTGGGAAAATAATACAAGGCTGGTAATGGGTCACTCTATAAGTCGTTCCCACTGATGATGACTCATGGTGACCACCCGTCAAGAACACTGCTAACTTCTCAAGTTTCAGGATTCTGGCCTGACAACAAGTGACTCAACGAATCGTGGGACCTGACCATGACTCGTGAGGTCGCCCATTGGGAACACTGACTTTTCTTAGACATCCTTCTCATGGTTGACCTAACGAGTCGTTGGGTCCCTTAACGACTCGTTGAGTGGGTCGTTCTGCAACATTTCTGTAGTTTTCTAGATTTTCTTATTTAAGTCCCGGAATTAGATTTTGAGTTTCCAGGGCATTACAGAAGCCCTTTAAATAAGTGAGGCTTTCCTGATAGAAATATTGTCTTGCAATAGAGATCCCAATTCCATGTATCTGGTTAAGAAAGACTTGCTCACCAGCTTTCACCTAGACAAAAAAAGTGAGCGCCTATCGCAAAAGGTTGCTTTATTAAGTAAGATAAGGCAAGAAACAAGAGCGTAGCTATTGCACCTTAGTGCATCCCTTTTCTTGCTCGTTAGTGTTGTTTGTTGAATTTTGAAAGAAGGGGCGGAGCTTGAAGAGGCAAAGCGAGCCTAGAATTGCTGCCTATTATGTTTTTTTAGGTACCTTTGATATTCTATTAGTCAAGCGTTAGCGCCCCTTTAGAGTAAGTTTTTTTTGTTATCAATGAATCAAAAGAAATAAAGAAAAAAACTAGTGCATTTCGTATAAATCGAGACTTGTACCTTTTTTATGTTGTTATTTTTGAAAGGCCATTAGATTTCATATTGAATGAACTTTTACCATATTATAGAATCTATGATGATATGATTATTTTTTTATTTTAATATATTATTTAGTGATTTATATGTGCGCTGCACGTGATCTCAGGTGGGTTGAGGCAAATTTTATTTCAAATTAAAAATAAAATACATGCACTATATACTCAAAAAATAAGATTTCATTTAACAAATAAAAATGATGTCTCATCCTCTACACCACATCCTTTGTTAGTATTATTTTCAATTATTATCTACTACGCAGTTTGTTGTACTTATGGAAACTTGTGATCATGAGAGTTATATTATGGATAGGGGCATTAAAGGCAGTGTTTTAATTTCAAACTCTGAAAATTGATATATTAAAATCTGAATAAGTTAACTATGAACAAAGGAAAACATTAGATACATGCTTGATTTTTAATGAGCCAATTTGGAGAAAGTAAAGATTTATTAATACATGCATAATATGTTTCTTGAAAGATTTCAAAGATTATTTTTGTAAATTTCCCTTTTAATACCGAATGTTAAGAGTATTTAATAGTTTGACAAAGGGTAGAGAAATTCATCTTTTTTGGTCTTTCCCACAAATTAATGTTTAAGTGTATCCCTACTTGCTAATGTTGTGTTGAGCTACTTTTCTATATTTTAATTTTTCTTTCTATACTATGTCTAGTTGTGTCCTAATTACTTTCTCAACATACACATATAAAAAAAATCATACAGTAACTGAGAACTTGTGCGACATAAAGTTCAACCAGATACACATTGTCATTATCCGAACATAACTCCAGACACAATTGGGACCTAAAACCACGAATGGCTCCAAGCTAATTCATGGTACATGCATGAAATAAGCATAAGCTTACAACTAAGCGAAGTAAATCATGAGATAAGGCATAAGCTGAATGCGTCTACAATATCATAAATTATAACTGAGACAACAAGTCAAACCACTGAACATCTATACATCATAGTTTAAAAAATCTCTAAACATATATCATGAATCTGGAACAAGAGCAAATCTAGCAATGGGGCTGAGACTGAACACCCGAACCTATATCATTAGACGTTATAACATTAAAAATATGCGATAAGTACTTTGAATGTATTGAGTATGGAGGATAAGTAAATTATGAAAGTAAGGAAAACATGCTAAAAAATAATGATTGTGAGATAGTCATAAAACATAAGATTTTCATCRTAATCTAAAGTATAATGACCCAAGATTTTTAAAATAATATCATAAAGTTTAAGATGTTTGAAATCATAAGTAAAACTCATAAACTTATCAATGTGTCAAAAATACTATAAGTTATGGTATCATAAAGTACGAACGTGAAGAAAAGAAGCATGAAACATGTGGAACAAGGTGGGAGATTCTCATAGCCGTCATACTCCGAGTGAGCCTCATGGAGCCCAACCTATACCCTTGGTTGGTAGGGTGTCCATACCTTGATAAGGGTAAGAACCATGAAGTCATGATATCACTTATGAGCTCATTAGGTAAAGGAGAAACTCTCAAATAGAAAGGACTCCTTAGCTAAGGGCAAAGGAGATACTCTTTATTGGTGAGGTCCCCTTATCCTACGGTGGCACGTAGTTTTAAGACCTTGGTGCATTAAACTCCGGCCTACTCGATGTTAAATACTACTCTATAAACATAAATAGTGCTCATAATCATACTTGAAACATGATAGGTTTTGCATGAGCTAATTAAAAACATAATGAATTCATAAATTCCTTAACATACGTGAACTAGCCATGAAAAACAAATATTAAAAATTCAGCCATGATACATAAGCTTGATATTCATGAGATTCATACATACTTGA